TGTTATTTAGTTTTTAACTTTTTTAAAACACCATAAGCTGTCTTGGACCCATTAGGAGATGGAAGCATATGAATATTTTAAATAAATAAATAAAATTTGTAGCTTAGTCACTTAGCTACCCTGTATATACTTGATTTCCAACTCAATCTATGGAGTAATCCTTGAATTGTTTAGTAGTGTCAAGCCAACTGGCAAAATCCTGTTCATTTAACTGCACCAGCATAAAGTGGATCTGGACACTGGAAATTATGCATTTGAACAAATTGAAAGCTTCCAATCCCCCCTTCCCCCCCCCGAAGTCCTCCCTAGGTTCTCTTTTGCTCTGAAGAAATTTCTGGAAGCCTCAGGGTGGGAGATGGGAAAGGGAAACCCTTAATAGGCAAAAATTACTGCCAGATCACTGTTGCTGGGATCAAGACCAGCAGCTATCATCCTACAATGATTCTTGTATATTAAAGATTGACACATACACCTTGTCTCAAGGCTCCCAAAGGCTTCCCCAAGACAAAAGGGGGCCCTAGGGAGGAGGAAGTTAGAAGCTTTTGATTTGGCTAAATTTATTATTTCTGGCATCCAGATCTGGCTTATGCCAGCGTAACGAAGCATACAGGATTTTGCATAATTAAACTGTTGCACAAGCTGTAGTCCTCCCTTCATCTCCCCCCCCCAGAGCTGTTCATCTGTCCCATAAAGCTGATGCCCCCAGTGCCTTGGCTGTGGCCAGTCTCACCGGTCTCTCTCTTTTTTTTAATGCTGCTGTATGAATGTCTGCAATTTTGTCAGAGAATATGCTGGCTGAGATTAGGTTCTTGTAAAGGAAGTGAGGATAACAAATAAGGGAGAGATTTGCAATTATCCACAGGGAAAGAAAATGTCCTTTCTGGGGACTATAAATGGCCATAACCAACGGATGATAGCCATGCTAGCTAGGGTATCCTGGGAGTCACAGTCCCCACCCCCCACCCACCCCCAAAAAAGAGGGTGGAGGGGGACTTTTCCAACTCTGATTGCTCTCCTGTCTGAAGACAAGGTGGTCAGTTCCATGCCATTCCATTCACCGAGATTTCGGGGCAAACACTCGACATCTCAGTGACCTGTCTGTTATCTGATGTTAGCAAGGTGGTAACAGATAAGAGTGGTGAGACTCACAATGGCTGCCCAGAAGTTAAGGAAAGAGTATCTGAAGATCCACAGGATGAATTGAAATGACTTATTTTTTTAAAACTGAAACTGTACATGACTTTTAATCTTTTTATATTCTGTTTTTAACCCAGTACTTTGGTGAATGTGTGTATTTGTCTTTGTACTTTTTAATCTGCTAGTGTTGTATTGTTTTTAACCCAGTATTTTGGTGAATGTGTGTATTTGTACTTTTTAATCTGCCAGTGTTGTGCTTGTTAAACTGGCACCTTGCTTATGTATATATTACTCTCTGTACTTATGTTTTAATTTGGTGGAAGCTGAATGACAAAAGTGGTCTCGACAACAATAAAACACTCAGAAATCTCAGTGAATGGCTGCAGGTCCTTGTGATGTCACAGAGAAGGGTGATGGGGCGAGTGTCTTTGTGAGGTCACAAAGGCAGAGCAGGTTGGGAAGAAGGAAGCATAGCAGCATGCAAATACCTTGGCACTGAGTTCTGGTGCCAGCTGGGAATGGGAGAAAGATCGGTGCCCAGACTTTAAAGACATCACATATCATATCTTTTTCTTCCGACAGTGCCTGTTGCCCCCAAGGACACCCAGAGAAGCCTAGTAATTTTCTGAGATTCTGGAAAGTGATTTAAGACTAACAAACCTAAAAGCAGGGCCCTGAAATAAATCTAGGGGGAATGCAAACTGATAACAATCAGCACAGGGCTAGTCGGACACACTCATCTTTCCCAGCCTTATCCCTTTTTAGATTCACAAATAGTGTCTTGAAACCCCTCCCAGTGACAGCAACCCACTGGAGCAATTCTGTACCTTCCCCAAGCTGCAGAGCTGGGTCCATGAGCTCCATCATATACTCTACGTTCAGAAGCACCTCGGTCAGGTCACTTCGGGCCAGAACATACATGAGCACCGGGAGGAAGTCGTCTGCTCCATAATGCTTCCCTGAAACAAAAAGAGTGTTTATTCAAACCTTCAGTCCCTATGGGTGGCAGGTATGGATGAGTAGCCCTCCATATAAGGCGTACAGGTTTCCCTCTGTATGTACAATGTCAGCACCAGTGTCCTGTAGGAACCAGCTCTCCATATCAGAGCACTGCAGAGCAGCTGGCTTGCACAGCTGCCAGTCTATGGATCAGAAACAGGACTGGACCAACGATGATGTCAAATGTAAAAATTCATTTGGCAGAAACACAGCGTTCAAGATTATCCTGCTGGCCTTTCTACTGTTTTAAAAAAAAAGCAAGGCGGAGGAAGACCCATCCATTTGAGGAATTATCATGTGAAACTAATTTAAGAACTCTTCTTATATTCCAATCCTGTTGAACCAGACAATCTGCTAGCACTGTCCTGGCTGGGTTGGCATCACTGATATCAAGATACTGATCCCTTCCTCGCAGTTAGATGGGGAAGGTCTGAAATTGGGAGCCTGGTCTAGATGCAGTGCCATTCCACATGATTTCAGACCTTATCTGGGAGGCAGGAAGTGGCAGCAAGACTGAAGGAGAAAGCTTTATGGGCCTTCACCCTGTATCACCTTTGGCAGTGGTTCTGAGTCTTTGTCTTGGACTTCAACTCCCAGGCTCCTTTGCCATTGGCCATGATAGTTGGAGCTTCTGGGAGTTGAAGTCTATGATATCTGGAGGGCCAAAGATTGAGAACCACTGCCCTAAATTAGCCTCCCACCCTTGAGTGTAGTGGAAGAATTTCGTTGTATGTGTATATACTTACAATGACAATAAATTATTATTATTATTATTAAGTCCGGGGTCATCACCATCAATATAAGATTCAACTGCTAATCTGACCAGCTTCTGTGCATCTTGTCCAGTACCAAAGGCTGCTAAATATCAGGTACTGGGTTGATTGAAAAGAAGGATGCAGTTGCATTCCTGTGTGCTACTTCCCATAAGCAAGTGTCTGGCTAACACAATGCACAGCTAGGTAGGCCTAAAATGCAATATCTTGGGCCCATCAATTAATTAACTGGTTTATATGACAATTGTGCTACTTCCCATAAGCAAGTGTCTGGCCAACACAATACACAGCTAGGTAGGCCTTCGACTTGATCTTTGCTTCTGGCATCGCACAGCTAGGTAGGCCTAAAATGCAATATCTTGGGCCCATCAATTAATTAACTGGTTTATATGACAATTTTCTGCCCATAGGGGACCCAAGGCAGCTCACAATAACTAAAACTATAAAGCAATCAGCAGTTTTTTAAATGTTATATCAATATAATGTAAAAAAAAGATTAAACATAGATCAAGACTGAAACCCAGATTTAAAACAAACTTAAAACATTTAAAAATCTGTAATTTAACAAACAAAGCATTCCTGAGACACTTACTGCTTAAAAGCCTGCCTGAAGGGAATGGTCTTTGCCTGACCATTGAAGGACAAAAGGGAGGGGGCCAACCTGGCTTCTTGAGGCATTGGATCCCAAAGCCTGAGAGCAACCACTGACAAGGCCCTCTCTCCTGTCCTCACCAAATGAACCTGGGAAGGTAGTGGAACCAAGGGCTTCCCCATAAGAAGCCTCCTATGGGGTGATGTAGCTGTTATGTGCTCTCAAGTCAGAACTGACTTATAGCAACCTTAACAGGGCTCTCTTAGCTCAAGGTAAGTGAGATATTTAAGGAGTCTTTTTGCCAGTTCCACACACACCCCATGAGTTTCAAACCCTGGTCTCCAGAGCCCTCGTCCATCACTCTACCCACTACCCCACACTGGGTATATCTGTAAAGTGCTGTGCAAAATCTTCACAGCAGGTTGTCGAGTGGTCTGCAGCCTTCTTTTGTGGCCATCTGTGCAACAAGTTCTTGATCTCCAAAAAAGGCTCAACAGGACAGCTTGGTACAGATGCCATGCTGGCAGAGAAGAATAGCTTAAAGGTAAAGGTAAAGGTTCCCCTTGACAATTTTTGCCCAGTCGTGTTTGACTCTAGGGGGCAGTGCTCATCCCCGTTTCCAAGCCATAGAGCCAGCGTTTGTCTGAAGACAATCTTCCGTGGTCACATGGCCAGTGCGACTTGGACACAGAACGCTGTTACCTTCCCACCAAGGTGGTCCCTATTTATCTACTTGTATTTGCATGCTTTTGAACTGCTAGGTTGGCGAGAGCTGGGACAAGCGACGGGCGCTCATTCCGTCGCGTGGATTCGATCTTACGACTGCTTGGTCTTCTGACCCTGCAGCACAGGCTTCTGCTGTTTATCCCGCAGCGCCACCATGTCTCTGAACTGACTTATAGCAACCTTAACAGGGCTCTCTTAGCTCAAGGTAAGTGAGATATTTAAGGAGTCTTTTTGCCAGTTCCACACACACCCCATGAGTTTCAAACCCTGGTCTCCAGAGCCCTCGTCCATCACTCTACCCACTACCCCACACTGGGTATATCTGTAAAGTGCTGTGCAAAATCTTCACAGCAGGTTGTCGAGTGGCCTGCACCCTTCTTTTGTGGCCCTCTGTGCAACAAGATCTTGATCTCCAGAAAAGGCTCAATGGGACAGCTTGGTACAGATGCCATGCTGGCAGAGAAGAATAGCTTACTCACTGCCAAGAAGCAGACTTTCCAATGAGCCCTAGCCCATGTTCGATCAGATTCACTCTGAGCTTCCACCATTATTGTTCTCGTCTCCATCCCACTCATTTCATCATCTCCAGCTCTTTAGTAAACCAAAGTGTTAGTCTGGCTGCACTTTGTGGGAGGGGACATTTAGGAATGATTGTGTCAATCACCCTGGCCATTTCCTCAGTCCAGAGATTAGACAAGATCTCAACAGGATCACCTGCCAAGACAGCAGGAAATTCCTCAAGAGCTGCCAGGAAACCACCAAGGTATTATTAACTCAGCTTCCCTCTCACTGAATTCCTATCACAATGGTTTGGATATTCACTCTAAAGCAAAGTCATTGCACTATGATTATGATGCACTTTTCTATCATAAACATATGGAGCACTTTGCAAAATGATTTTTTTAGAAGACAACTTTGTGGGAGGGGACATTTAGGAATGATTGTGTCAATCACCCTGGCCATTTCCTCAGTCCAGAGATTAGACAAGATCTCAACAGGATCACCTGCCAAGACAGCAGGAAATTCCTCAAGAGCTGCCAGGAAACCACCAAGGTATTATTAACTCAGCTTCCCTCTCACTGAATTCCTATCACAATGGTTTGGATATCCACTCTAAAGCAAAGTCATTGCACTATGATTATGATGCACTTTTCTATCATAAACATATGGAGCACTTTGCAAAATGATTTTTTTAGAAGACAAGATAGGGTGCCATCTACTCCCTATTCTCCGAAACATACATAATGAATAGCAAGATTGCTCATTACATTTGTAAGTGATTTCATACTTCCATTGCAATTTCCACAAAGGGAATAACACCGAGGATTTGGCAACATGCAGTTTAATTGAAATGAGAAGATCGAGAATACTTCGCCAAACTCCTATTTTAGTTACTATTATTATGAGAAAACTAGTATACTTCAAGACTTTTAAAGCTGGAAAGAGTAAAGTGTATTCGAACTGAAAGTGTTTAAAAGGCGGATTCCCACTTCCTGTTGCTGGACACGCGAGTCAAACAGGTATTGTTGGTCTATGAAACTATGCAAACATCTGCAAACCCATTTTTTCCTTGGCTACAAAAATGCTTTTGGGTGTCCTTTGCCACACCATAGGATTATGATGCCTGGAGCCAGAGGTTGGACATTTCAGATCGTATTAGACCACTCTAGGCGGCTTTTGGGTGTCCTTTGCCACAACATAGGATTATGCTGCCTGGAGCCAGAGGTTGGACATTTGATTTCCCACTGTGCCTCCTGTGACTAGAGCCAGCCTGTGTGGCCTTGGGCAAGCTGCACAGTTCCAAGGAACTTCCAGAGGAAGTGAACGGTAAACCACTTCTGTGTATTCACCTCAAACACCCTGGAAAGGGTCACCGGGAACAGTAAACCACTTCTGTGTATTCTTTGCCTCAAACACCCTGGAAAGGGTCACCATAATTTGGGATTGAGTTGGCAGCACACAATATATACATACCTAAGTCCATTGAATGCAATGAGCTTAAGCAGACTTAGTTATACACTGAATTGCACCCACTGTCTCGTTTCAAGTACATCCTATTAAAAAGTTTTCATTATATGTCAAGCAAAGTCAACAGAAGTTTGCATTGAGGGTAAGAATTATATGCAGTTGAGTCTTGAATAAAGCCTTTAATCCATATGTGTGTGTATGTGTACACACACATACACATACACACACCAAAATATATGTAGCACACACACACACACACACACACGAATATATGTAAACAAGGAGCACACACACACACATAAACAATATATATATATATATTGTTGCCTATATAGTTTATATGTGTGTGTATATATGTATGTATATGGTGTGTACTATATGTGTGTGTATATATGTATGTATATGCGTGTGTATATACATATACACACACATATATACACACACATACACACACACAAATGAGCATGCACACTAGAATATAAGTAGGAACACCAGCTCAGTTGAAACAGGCAAAGCTGAGAAGTATAAGACTCACTTTATAAACTGAATTATTTATTAACATTCACACAATCCTGCACATTTTGGAAAGAGCATTTCTTGATCTGCAAAAATATATTTATCCAAAATTGCTAGAGAGAAAAAAGGCATAGTTGTTCAATGAGTAGTGTGTGAAATGTTCCACTTGTACAGTGTGACTGTTTTCTGCAGTACTAAGGAAGTCTCTGGAGGAACAACCACAGTACAGTTCTGAAAAACAGCCATCAATGGAGCTGCAGGATCAGCAGTTAATATGGCTAACATATTTCGTAGGATCTGGCCTAGTGTCAATTTTACCAGTTAGAGTTCTGTGGATCACATTTCACAAACCTTTTGTAAAGATCTAAAATTAAAATGCCACTTG